TCGATCGAGGATGGCTGCATCAGACCATCTATCCGGGTAACGACCAGCGAGATCCTTTCTAGTCTGAAGTTCCTTCGATGTGGCCAAGTGTTCTGTTTCTATCGGGAAACTCTGTTTGAAAGATGTTTTACTTTATTGACACTCTAAATTCACCAGCTTAGCTTTCATCCCCGCATTCCACATTTTTTTAATCACAAAGTCAAAGCCAAAATTGTACTCACACCGAGATATTGAGTTCCAATTATGAAAGACATTGACTAAACGGGGATGGGTAGGTGGTTACCTTGCATATTTCCGTAAATGTCTTGTACTCGACCTCGAAACGTTCTAGAGAAATGTGTTCGATTTCATCGTTGGTGACCATATGCGTACATCCGTGCAAGCTCAGTGTGTAGTAATTGTCCCGATTGAGATGATCGAATTGCGCAACTCTGATACGGGCAGAAACGATTTGGTTAGCATAGTTGATGCAACGCTTAGTCGAGAACATTTCTGTCGGATGATGTGGTTTGAGCCAACAGTAGAGCACTATTTGAGTAAGAATTTTCAATTTCTGACCATGTCACTCAATTCTAATCAGTGTAACTTATCCTAAACCATTGCTCACAAAAAACCGTGAGTTAGGTACAAATCTTTCATAATTTATTTGGACTACAGGGTGACCCTTTTGTGTCAACAACAGGCACTATCTGGAGCACATTTTTACGAACAATCAGCTCATTTGGGGGAGGTGAAAGATTGAACATTTCCAGGAATTGACATAGAAACTAACTGCCGCACATTCTGGTCTCAACGGTAACCCGTTTGTCTGAATGCCAGACTGTATTGGATCCATAAATGATACTTTTAGAGAGCATGATTCACTAATCGTATAGTTAACATCTATGTTATGTTTATAAACTGAGGCCTCAGAAAGTTCATCAGACGTAATTTGAAAGCTCAGTCGATTCGCATACTTCAAAACGATTTCTCAGTTGCGTTCGAAACTGGTTGAGATGAATAACTAATCTGTTATCGAGTTTCAGAATACCACATCATAGCATTTGAAACCAACCAAATCAATAGCAATAGCCCAACACAAATCAAACGATAGGGTATCAGTTCAGTTTACTCTATGGTTTGTATAATAAAGGTCTGAAGGCATACTTTTTTATTTTTTAAGTCAATCTCTTAAGGCGTTTTGTTTTTGTTTACGTTTTGCCCCACCGGCTTTATGGGTCTCCTTTTATCTTACCCGGTCTTTTTAATAAGGACCACAAACTAACTTCGCGATCCCTCTGTTTCTGACGGTATTTAGTCTTATACCATGAGAACATCTGTTACATCGGTTATATCAAGAATCTGAGGAATAACCGCGAGAAGTGTCGGGTAGGAAAGTGTAAAGATGGAGAAAGCTGCGGCTATCGGCAATAGCCACAATCTTCTCCATCTAATTGGGAATATGGCCCTAGGAAAATAAGCGTTAGTGGGGTATTAAGAAATCCGATGGCACACTGATTTATCATCAGCGACACTGTCTTGATCGGTGAGCTGAACATTTCGCGGTTCAGTTCAACTGGCCCCCATCGACATCTGAACTATCGTAATTGCTGGTTAGAGACACTGAGTAATATGGCTGGGAGTCGTAAACGGTGGTGTTCATGCATCTTCTCAATTGTTTTGCAACATTAGTTCACTGATATTCCCAATTGTTTTTTTTCTATTCTACTTTCAACCTTTTCTGTCATTCTCCTATTGATCATCCAAATGGGCAACCAAAAGACAGAAACCAAACCCGGCGCACCAATATGCGTGGTTAATGGTTGTTCGAACTGAAAACTGAACTGATGGCACACCAAATCAAAACCTGTAAAACATTCTCCAAGAAGATCTTATCTGATTGCCTCCATCCCTTTTATCCTTCCCTTGGTTGATATTTTTCTTATTCATCCACCCGTTTCAGTTGTCAACTTGTAAAGTAGATGCTGAAGCTTATTTGCACTCTATTATCCCGTATCTCGCCAAATTTCTCACAAACTATAAACTGGCTACAGAAACTCTGCGCAAATTTTCAATTTAAACCAATGATTAACTCCATTATATGCTGTTGGCTTTGGGATGTCCGGTTGTCCGGTTCACTGTTTCGATTGCTGTATCATATGGCCCATTTTTCTTATTATTGTTGTTGAAAAATTGTGGTTACAGGGTTTGCTAAATATCCATCCCTCAGGGTGTATAAATCGATTAGTTGACTTTATTTGACTTGATAATAGTGAGGAACATGATTCGCTTACATAGTGAAATTGACATGTATCGTGCTCAAGATATCTGAACTGTAAAGCTAAGAATCACTCTATAGCTGTTTTGGCTCGATCGGGTCACATCGTCAGCGCGAATACGTAAACTCAACTTGGGGTTCGAACCCGGGACGTCATAATACCAACTTGACCGCGAAGTAGATGATTAAACCGTTTTTTTCACTTTATCTATATCAGTCTATTGTGCACATCACACCCCAACTATTTCAGTTCTGTTAAGAACGAAATCATTTACATAATAGAATCAAATTATACACTGCCCTCGTGTTACAAATAGCCCGGTTCAGAATGCACTGAGAAGATGGAGCTTTTAAAGGTGGATGATGTTATACGGAACAAACAGAAAACACTCTAACTAGCCTATCGGCGGTCAAGTGGTTATTACGCTTGCTTTCTAGCATTGATAAGGTTCTCAGGATCAAGTCCCAGTTGGGTTGTCGTATTCACCCGACTGATGAGATCCAAAGGGATCGGAACACCTGTTCACTGATTCCTAGGTTTCCAGTTGATCCTCTGTATACGACAAAGCGCACTGTTTTGATCTCTTTTGGAAGAGACCAAAATGTTGAAATGAAAATCACTTCTTCCGGAAACCTATTGGAAACCTTTCTGAAAATTTATGGAGTTTCTCAAATTGTAGCAATCTTGTGCACGATTTCAGACCCGGCTTGTTAAGCGGTTTGTGGCTGAACAGCGAACATCACGCGAGTAGTCAGTCACATAAAAAATAAACGAACGGAACCGATAGAGGGATAGACTTACTTGAGATTATAGTAGTGATATTTGGTCGAACGTTTGGGTAGTGCATGAGTCAGATAGAAAAACTGAATTGAGGGATTTTCTCGGAGAACTTGGATTATTTTCAATATATCCGTTTCTCCATTGTAACTTGCTACCTCTAAAACGGTTGACAGGGGGTTACAGAAAAAATACACAAGCGATTAGAAACAACTGAGTAGGTTGCATCAATTTCACACTGAGACATACGACCAAAATGTTCTTCTTCGGTTTCCGCCAACTATTGTTGGCGAGGGGGGAAATGAAGAAAATTAATAGATGAACACTGTGTGTGTGTGTGGTGAATTTGGTGCATTAAAACAATTGATTTGTGATAAATGAAACAATTAATGAGGACGAAAGAAAGCGCGAGAGAGATGAGAAAAACGCGAACGTGAAATTGTCCGAAAAGCGGTCACTTACCGTCCAACATTTTAGATGTTTGACACAGACCTTTATCAGTCAAAAATAGAAAAACGTAGTACAAGATTTGAAATCTCAATCAGCGGATAACTCGACTGATATTCGGCTAAAATTGGGAAACTTACTTCATTGTGATGGTGAACGACTAACTGATGTCTTTGGTATTTAAATCAATACATTGTTGAAAAGCAACCGCTACGGGTCATTATTACGGTCACCGTTTCATTTTTTTTCCTATGAATATCGACTTTTTACATGGCAAGTATGAGAATCACTTCCGCTATCCATGTGTAAGTAAATGAGTACATCACCAAGAATAGGAGGCATAGCTTGTCATTAGGATCTGTGCACAGCTTTCACTGGCTTGTGAACATCACACGGGATTTGGTGATGGAATAAGTTCAAATGAGTGCTTTCTTCCTTCTTTCCTCTTAGCATCTCTTAAGAGTCAATTGTATGGATTGTTTGTTATTGTTACTAATGATTGGTTTGGAGTTTCGGTGTTTTTCTCACATTCGCTTCTCTATTCACCTCTCCGATGTTGACGTATCTTTTATGGTCTCTTATGTTTCAGTTTCAGTTTGTACCACCATTAACCATGCACTATCGTGCGCTGATTTTAGTTGTTCTCCTTTGGTTGCCTATTTGGATGAACAGTACGAGAAAGACCAAAAAGAATAAAAGTAGGAAAAAGAAGAAATTTAGAATTTCAGTGGATTAATGTCACAGAGAAATTGTGAAGATGCACGAACGTCACTGTTTACAGAACTCAGTTCTATCATTTGGTGTCTCTAACCATCGGGTACGATCAACCCGAGGTCCCCATCCAAGGAGCCGAACGGGACTCCTGGTTAAAGGTGCTTATACCCGCACGCCAGGTCTTCGCTTGACCACTCTTGACTATTTGTAATATCATTCGTTTCCAATTGTCCGAATATACATACCATCATAACCTGTTACTAGCGTAAGCAATAGCAGACAAGCTCGTTTGCAGTGAATCATATGCAGGCTAATGCATCACAATTTATGTCAAAACATTTCGTAGAGGGGGTGGAGGTGAGAAAAGAGAAATAATAAACATTCCATCTCCGCGACCGAATGTTGATCACACTTGGATACGCATTGTTTTAGGTTCTGATTATCCATAATTTCCCATTCTGGTTAAATGATCGAATTACTTGAGGGGGGACTTCTGAAGAGATGAGCTCGGGGTTGAATATTTTCACGTGACTTATTGTTTGATAAGTGAAGATCCAGGTACGTTGCAAACTTCTCTGGACAGTTCCGTGCTAGTTTAGCCATGTTTGGCACGCATTTTGCTCTCTCAAAGTGCACAATATGGCTACGGGACTGGGTTGGTTCTCACTCTAACTGGGGAGGTATCAGAGGAAGTGAATTAATTGTGCTATCTGGGCAGCTACATCTCATCTGTCAGACGTTTCACGGATAAATTATCCGATTGTATAGGAAACGCTCGATTGGCATTTCCCAAATTGAGAAATTTCTAGTATCGTCGCAATGCCAGGCTGGCCATGAAATGTCGAGCATATACTACAGCTGATAGATCGGAGCTGCTATACGAGGCAGAGGTAATTGCGAAAACAGGACAGAACTAGGCTGTCAGTTTTTGAACATCATTGTGTGCACCACATGGCACGATTCTTAGGAGTGCTGAAGTAAAATGTAAGGCTTTTAGAAATCTCAATCACCCACTAAAGTAAATGGTCGACCCACATAAATTGCACTGACAGGAGCATGTGGTACGAATGTCACCACATTGGTTATCACGGTACATGCTATTTATCGAGGTAGGTGATGCACGGGGAAACGTAAATAGGAATCAAACTAAGAACTGTTACGAGGGTATGAAAGCCCTGAACAAGAGGAGGCTTACTTGCATAGATCGCGTAAGCCTTCCTGGATGATGACCTCGGGATCAGCGTAAGCAATGATTCGAGACACTGAGTGTCGTAAACAGTGATGCTCGTGCATGTGCTCCATTTCCTTGCAACCTAAGTCTTGCTGGGTTCTCGGTTTTTACCTTGACACTGCTTTTAACATCCCAACCATCGTTCTACTCTATCTTGCAAATGGGCAGCCACAAGACAGCAACCAAAACTGAAATTGAACTAGACATATCTGAAGAGATTTTGATTGATGCTTTTTGAGAGATACTTATGCTACGACTTTTCTGGCACATGATTTAGGCTCAGACTTGCATTTCATGTAAGTATATTGATGTCCTACTAATTTTCCTAAAGTAGCCTCACTTGTCTGGAAGATTTGTTGACATAGAAATAGCTTATTCCTAAAATTTACCAACTGCCAAATTCGATATCACATGATTTTTAACAGAGAGGAGCACATATTGGGTTTTTTTCCACCTTTTGAATATTTGATAAAAGTAAATGTTTCCCAGTGTGTTTATTAACAAAACACTAACAGATTTTTGGATTAATTTGGAACTTGCAACTTAGTCTAGAGGTAAGCAATTTCATCAGAGGTAAAACCTACGTTTAACCCTTATCAAAGTGGAAAAAACATTTTATAAATTTAAAATCAAAAACGGTAAGCTAGACAAATAACAAATTGATAGTATAATGTATTTTGTAGTTCACCATGCCGTCCTTCTATCAAATCAGTTGAAACATATTGCTTGCTTTAGAGAAATAAGTCAACAACAAAGTTATTACAAGGAGGCCCATCACTTCATTCCACCTTAAACAAGACGAAATAAAAGACAGACCGTTTACTCTAAATCTATACATATATATGTATATCAGAACTGGCTTGAAGTATTTGAGTAGTAAAAATGTGACCCAGTTTTCTGACCAAAATCAAAGCTGTTATTGAGATTATACTTCAAAAGGTATTTAATAAATAAATAAAATGTTTGATAACGATTTAATATGCTCACTGTGTCAAAGCGGCAATTAGGAGCTATAAAGCACTTATGGATAAGTTTGTTAGATCAATTTTTTAATCACATTAGAATTTATGTCATTTAAAACCACAGAAACATTAAGCTTAAGAGATTTATATTAGCTCCTCTCTTTTTAGCGAGATTTTTCACTGTGTGTGATCAAAAATTACCGCGTAGAAAGTGCAACAGCCATTCCTAAACGGTTGTAAGTTTTTATTAATCGATCCAAAAAATATTTTAACTGATGAAAACAACAGAGCTTGTTTCTTCAGTGGCTATTGGTTCTTCAAAGGCATTGAAAATAGTAACCTGATACAAAAAAATTAAACCAAATTTTATAATTAAAAGTTTGATTTTATGTTTTTAACTTTTTATCTGCATCACTGCGACGCTCTGCAGGAAAAAAGACTAAGTATTTGCACAACCTGGTTGATCATCGGGTAAGTCTCTCTTCCTTTAATCACTGATCAATCATTGCTTGCCTTTTTATTAACGCTAGGTCTCATTGATAAAGAATTTTGATAAAACATACTATTGTGATAATCATTTCAAAAGTTGCTGCTATGCTAGAAGAGATTTAAATCTCTTATGTTTTTGTAGAAAAAACTGTCTTTTGCAACTATCATCTTTTAATCAGAATGAAGCAGTATTTACTGTCATGCGCTATGTATGTTTAAATTAGCATGTTAGATTTCTGAAGGCTAAACTTAATTAAAAACCAATGGATGATATCAGATGAGTTAACTCAAAAGAGAAGCAAACGGAAAACAACAGATATTAATGTGAACATAAAGCGATTCATCACATTTAGCATGAGCGTTGACGTCATTTACGGACCATTTGTTCCAGTTTCTGAGCATTTTTCGAACTTATGCTTGGCGAAAACATTTTGTAGAGTTTATAAATTTTTATTTATTATTATTTTTGTTTTAGACTTTTAAAGGCCTTTTTGACTCCATTCATTGTATTGGGCTAACATGTAACTTGGCCAATAAAAGCTGCCAGTCAGATTAACATATCATCAGATTATTATAAATTCAATTTATGTTATGTAGTTTATTTATATATATGTATGTATTAATTCACACACATCGAAGTCCAGACTATGTACCAAACAAATCACAGAATATTCTTTGTAGAAATGAAAAGATCCATAATTTTTCTGTTTCTATTGTTTCTAAAGAATTATTTTTTATTAGTTGGTTTATTATTATTAGTTTAATACATCTGAAAGTCGACTTAAGAGGAAACAGCTAAGACTACATGTATTCAACTTGTATTGTCACGTGGTTCCTTGGTGAGCAAACGAAAAACTTTTGAGTGTTTTAACGTCTACACAGCAATTAAGTGTTTTAAAAAAAGATTTATGTAGATATACAAAAGACAATGAAGTGGCTGATAAGTTATATATATATATTACGAAAAAATGGTTAAGACCAAACGTTTGTGATATCCATATATATTTAGTTAACATCTATTTGGTATAAACAAAAGTATTTCAATGATAAACTTGACATAAAGGTCTGGTTGAAAAAAATCTAATATTTTGTGAACAAGTTCAGAGGTAAAAATTGAAATTGTGAAAGCTGTTTCAATGAGTAATTGGTAATGGTGTAGGCAGGCGTTTGGAGAAATCCAAGTATGGTTAAAATATTATGACCTGTGAGGTTAATGAACCCCAAATTATGGAACTGAATCATGCAAGTTGCATTGAGATTCTAGATTTAGTACCTAAAACCAAATTAATTAATGGTTAGCCGAACTGAGCAATATGGCTGCTTAATTTCGACAGGGGGCTCATGTATTTAGTTATTTCTCAAACATACATAGTTTTCTGTCTTGGAGTATTCCGTTTACTACTGTCCCATCTATCGCACAAAAGGAAGCCAAAAGAAAATGAGTCACCTCTCAGTGTTAAATTAGTGATCGGGTGAAGTATTCGACATTTTCTTCTAAACAAGAGAATAATTTTAAAAACATTAATCCAAAAATAGAAGTGAAAATGTTTTGCTTCATAATTGATCAAAGCTACATCTGGGGATAGTAAGCTACAAATCATAGATCGATTAGCTACAAAAATCGGAAAT